GCTGCCATCAAATACTTTTTGTTCTGTGTCCTGACTGGATGAGGCTGCAATAATCTCTGCTGTCTGCGTGTGTGAAGATTTTTCTCCTGGAGACTTGATCGCACACTTGAGACCGAGAGGGACGACAGAGAGTAATATTTTGGGAAAAGCTCCTAGTGTGTTGCTAAGAGCTATGCTAAGAAGCAGAGGCTATGCAGGAGCCATCTTGCTGCCAGATAAACTGCAGGGATGTGTCTTCTTCAGGGGGACCTTGAGGTTGAGACAAAAAGCACAGCCTATCAGTATTTTGCCAATAAATGACAATCTTCTCAGGATGGGAAAGTGGAACAGCGATGGCACATGTTACCCCCTGCTCTTTGAGAAAGAGAAAAACAGACAAAAGGACTCTCGGGTTTATTTTGCATGTTAGCAGAAATTGGATGGTGATCATTGAGATACGTGATTATCATAAGAATCTTTTTGTTCCACACCCATGCTCTTTCTAAGCCAGTAACATCCATGTGTTTCTGTAATCTTTATGTCTGTAAGCTCACAAGTTCTTTCTTCTTTGAGGCCTGAGTGACAAGGACAACATTTTGTCAAACAATAACTGTAATATCTATTTATCTTTTCAGTCACAAAGTCTTTTACATTATATGCTCAAGGTTAACCTGAAGTTATTGTTCTGTTTTCATGGGTTCTGAGCTTTGTTCTCAGGGCTACCAAAATACAGCAGTTGGGATTTATCTCTGTCCCTTGTGACTTTTGCAGATTTGATTAAAATGTTATCTCTAGGAAACTATTGGCTCAGTTGTCAACTTCCTCTTGTTATCCTTGAGGACCTAAAGGTTTCTGGAGAGAATATCTCTCTAGGGCAGTGGTTCTCAACGTGTGGGTCCCCAGATGTTTTGGCCTTCAACTCCCAGAAATCGCAACTGCTGGTAAATTGCCTGAGATTTTTAGGAGTTGTAAGCCAAAACACCTGGAGACCCACAAGCTGAGAACCACTGCTCTAGGGACTCCTTAGGACCTCCAGTGTGATTCTGTGGTCAGTTTCTAGTAGAAGTTAACTGCAGAGTTGTTCTGGAAGACCTAGAATAGCAGTGTCTTTATTCATAATTTTAACTTGTGTTCTGAGCAAATGTGGAAGGCTGACAAAAGCGTGGCCATATCAGTTTGGGGCTGGGACAATATATTTATTGGACATATTCTATGACTGCCATTTTGGGCAACTGGAATTTATGTCACTGTCAGCTGCCTTCTGGGGCCATTGAACACTTAGTGTTTCAGGATAAGGGGCAAGACAGGTTTTTGAAAAGTTCTGGAGCTATTTTGACTTGTGGTTTTGTCTGAAAAATGGGAAGGATTGGCTGAAGACATTCAGGAGCTTGGGGATGCCAGTGGGATTTTCTAGCCTATGAGCTGTATAATTCCCCACCTCAAAGCCCTCTTGACTAGTCAGAATGCAGTATAAAATTGTAAAGCAGGCTCATTGTTGTGCTCATGTGATTTGTAAGTTAACTCATTGTCAAGATGGTCACTGAGTCTGATGAAGACTACGGTAGGATCTCTATAGCCACGAGGGGTACATTCACAAATTTAACACAATGAGAAAAAATAAAGATAATCGTGAACACTTTTGAGTGAATGACTTCTGGTGGAAGCATACCATATAGTGAAGCTGGAGGACCTAGGAAAAGCTTAGAGAGGTGGGATTGTCATATGTAGGTAAATAAAACAGCCAGTACTGGCCATATTACACTTGGCTTGCAATATGGATGGATAGGAATGGATGACTAGTAAGCAGCCAGTTGTAAGTCAGCTAATGAGGACAGGGGCAGGCAGGGAGGCCTGAACTGGCATAATTTGTGTTCCCAGCAATTGGTGAGAAGTCCATGTGTCACCCTGTGTGCTGATCTTGAAACTCCAGAGGCGGTTTGTGCATCCTCTTTCTTCAATAGTTGCAGCTGTCTGGGAATTAACTCTGCCAGAAGAGGAATTTGACAAGGAGTCATTTGTCACAGGCTAAGGCTTTTGTTTCCTTCCTTGAGTACCTAATTGCTTGGGTAATTTGTCTCTGTGTAATGAGGAATGGATGGCACAACCTGATGCAGGCAGGCCTGACTCATTTTCTACCCTCCTCCGTACTGCTAGAGATCTCTGGAGAAGCAGTTGTGTGCCTACAAATAAGCATCAGGATCAGAGAGGAATCTGCCCACCCTGTGCCACCCTCTCCTTTAGAAAGTTTTACACGAAAGACTGGGAGCTATTTTGTGAATCGTCTATGTTTTATTCTGTTGTCTTTGTGTAGAAGGACCAAATGTATATGTCTTTTGGCTCTCCTCTGGCATCCCAATGGCTGAGGTTTGTTTTCTTTGATGAACCACATTCTGCCAAGTCAAATTGTCTTTGGTCTTGCCCTGAAGACATCCTGAGATGTCTGTCTGTAACTTTGTAACTTTCCATATAACTCTATTCTCTGTGTCCTTGAATATGAGAAATGAACGTATATATGTATGGAAATTATATCATGTCATTCTCACTTGCCTTCTGGGGCCATGGAGGAGTTAGTGTTTCAGGGTGAGGAGGGGCAAGACAGAAGTTTAAAAGATGCAAAAGATGAGAAAATGGGGGAAAGGTTAGGTATTTCTAAATCTGTTGATATATTGGAGTACAATACCAGTCATTTTTTTGACATGGTGAATACTATAGAAGCTGTAATCCATCTCATCAGAAGGACACTAGATTAGGAAAAGCTTTTATAACTTGTTGTTTTTGAGTGACAATATTTCCTGGCTAATTGGAAAAGATCAACTGTATATCCTAGCCAATAATTGCCTGGTATTGGCTTTTACAGGATGTCATTGTTTTATTAATTCCTCATACCAAATGAAAACAATTGAAAGTCAAATTAAACCCAAACCTCCATCCCTATTTAGAAATGAAAAAAAAATTGTAATTATAGCTATCCATCCTTGATTAATCATTTTAATTTTGTTTCGTTTAACACAAAACCAGCAACAATGATGGAATATCTCCAGAGGCAATTCATACAAACATATGGTTTTATATTTATTTGTGTAGTCACAGTTCACAAGATCAGTTTGCAAATATGCTAACTGGTGATCACAATTCTTACATAAAATGCACAGTTTTTGTTTTTCCATTTGAATCTTAATTTTCTGTGTTAATATAGCCCTACTTAATGGCCCAATTTTAGAAAAATAAACCCAGAACCCTTCTGTATATTTTCTTGATAAGAGTTGTGTTTTTCCATTATTACTAATTGGATAGCCATTGACAATTTATCAACTCATTTTAAATAGAAGAATTGTAAACCTTCATTAATAGAATCCAAAAGGTATGGAAACATAAATAATAATATGTGAGGCATTGAATTTGCCATTTATTATGTTGTAAACTGTTTTGAGTCCCCTAGAGGTGAGAAAAGCGATATAGAAATGCAGTTAGGTAAAGGTAAAGGTTGTCCCCTGACATTAAGTCCAGTTGTGTCCGACTCTGGGATGTGGTGCTCTTCTCCATTTCTAAGCCGAACAGCCGGCGTTGTCCGTAGACAACGCCAAGGTCATGTGGCCAGCATGACTGCATGGAACGCCGTTACCTTCCCGCCTGAGCGATACCTATTGATCTACTCACATTTGCATGTTTTCGAACTGCTAGGTTGGCAGAAGCTGGGGCTGACAGCGGAAGCTTACGCCGCTCCCTGGATTCGAACCTGCAACTTTTCGGTCAACAAGCTTAGCAGCTCAGTGGTTTAACCCACTGCGCCACTGGGGACTCCCAGAAATGCAGTTAATAAATAATAATAACAACAACAACATATTATGCATGTTTACTCAGAAACACTCATGTATAGGTCTAGGAATTGTAGTCAAAAGATCAATTTAAAAACCTGGCTCAGCTGATCCACTGGTCAATGCGAATACCTTATTTTAAAAGGAACAATCCCCTTCTCTGAGTGACCAAAGACAAAAAATTGGTCCATTCATTGAGATGAGAACCTTCGCTGGTGGAAAACAGATGTCAGCAAACAGAAGCAGCTGGGCTCCCTGAGGCGCCATTGGTGTTTTCCCTTCTATTCATTGGCCACATCAAAATCCATAATTTTGGCCCTGATCCTGTCCTAGACATATGTATGAGGTTGACCGTATTATATATGTGTGTAATTCAGATATAAGAGACACATATATAATACGGTATATGCTCAGGTATATACAGGTCAAAGACAGTTTTGTCATATTCATGAAGATATCAAAGAAAGATTTGTCATATTCAGTAACTACGTTGTGATCTGTTTTGTTTATATGACTTACATAATCTCTTTGTAATAAGTGATACTTGATCATTAAACATTCTCTGAATAAAATAAAAAATCAACCTAATGGACAGTCCACCCCCATATACAGTTTGTAAATTACTCTCTTAATTAGTTCTTGGCTGCAAATTATATAATAATTTATTATTTTATGTTATAGGAGGGTAAGAAAGAAGTTTCAGACACTCCTTATCACACTGATTTGTATAATCTCCCATTTGTCTTATTGCATTTATCATCTTATCTCATACTTGGCAAAGGAACTCCTTAGTGTAGCAGAATCAGTGGTGGTATTAATACTTTTCTGATTATAGATATTTGGTAATGGCATTCTCCTCTTCTTTTTTTCAGGATATAAACGTCCACTGATCTTCTTGTCCTAACATTCTGAATTTGAATGGTTTTAATTAGTTGCTGTGTTCTGCTTTGATAGGGGTGGAGTTCTGTTTGGCATTCATACATAATACAGTACATTTTATATTAAGTGTACAGATGACTTCAGCAAACACCCAGCAGTGTAGTGCAGTAGGTAATTGATTTTCTCAAGGAGAGAGCATGTTGTTCTGGCAAAAGCTAATAACAGAAAGGGAGTTAATACTTTTTGTATTGTTCTCTCACCTTGGCTTTTTAGTTGTTCTCTCACTAAGCCTTTTATTTGTTGTTGTTTCTTCTTTTCTTCTGATAGATAGAAGAACAAGGAGTTGATGGGTGGTTTTCCAAAAGGCGTGGCTTTGACAGAGCTGTAAGACTTCCAAAGCCAAATGTAACCAGACATGTTCTGCCATGGAATGAGCAGGTAAGCTGGACAAGGCATATATTGAGAGAAGAAAAATAATTTGTAGGAAAGCAATGTTAGCTGTGCAATTAGTGAGTGTGCAGGAAGCTGAGATTGTTAGATGTTGCAGACCTAATCTACCTAGCAGTCCTTTAAACATAATCCACTCAGTCTCAATGAAATGAGGGAAAGCTGTGTGAGAATTATGTAGACTTCTTGCACAGTTCATATTTGTTCAGTTCTGCTTTCAAAGAGAAAGGAAATTGTGGAGCCCATGGACAACAGAGGTTTACCAGAACCATTTTATAACCTCCAGAATCCCTGCCTTCATTGCTGGAGTGAGGGGATTCTAATGGAGAATTGAGCCACTGGAACCCCCTGCCTGAAACTTTTGGCTGAAATAAGATTCACAGAATAATTCTACTGAAACCACAAGAGATTCCCTGCTATTTTAGTCAGACATGGCTGACACAGCATGCAACACAAGTGGGGGGATTGTTCTCAGACCTTTTGGGTGGCCCACTTTTGCTCTGAAGGAACAGTTTCAAAATGAATATTGGTTTTTGAATTCCATCCTAGATTGTCCCTTAAAAGAACACACCTATCAAGATTAGATGGCCAGTCCCAGGACAAAAAACTTGACTGGATACCTTATTGAGTCCACTCAAGTCTTATCATTTAAGATACAATACCTAAATGGAGGAGTCCTACATGGAAATTCAGCACATAAAACCCAACCTTGACACCTTGACGATGTTAAAATTTATAATCAATATATGACTTCATGGAATTTGGATAAACTTGTTACACCATAAAATAGTTCTCCTAATTGAAAAAAAACGCAACAACAACCTTTATTCTTATATACCACCATCTCCCCGGGAAAAACTTGGGTCATTTTACACATGGCACAAGATGCCTAAAAACAGAACATAAAATAAACACAGTATAAAATACAATAAGTAAAACACATCATTATTATATTTTATACTGTGCTTATTTTATATTATTCTTATGTTCTCTTATAAGCAGTATTTTACACATTGCTGACACCCATACTTGTAACATCTAGATGGAGTTTTTGGATAATATAATCTGCCCCATATATTTGCACCCTCTGGGGGGACGCTTACCCCAACCACCAAGAACCCAACTGGTAACCTTCACTCAGAAAACCTTTTCGTCGACTGCCCCAAAACTCTGGAATGACCTTCCGGAAGAGCTTCGACAGCTAAATGAACTGTCAGCATTCAAGACAGAACTGAAGACCTGTCTCTTCAGGCAGACCTGTCCATTCAATTTGAACCTGTGAATTTTAAATGTACATTCTATTTTTCTTTTAATATGTATTTATATAGTATTTTAATCCTTTCTCTATGCATTATAATATATGTTTTTGGTGGTGGTGTATTTAAACGTATGTATTTTATGGTGTTTTTCTTTTAACTGTATTTTCCCACACTTCAAAAAAAAAAAAAGGAATACCAAGGCGCATTTCATCCATCTTCTTCTATCATCTTTCTCCAATTCACATCCCAATGATGCTAAATCAGAATTGTAAGCATGGAATTGCAAATAAGATGTCCAGACACCTGTGCTGAGGCATATGCCTGTTTAATACACTTCTGCATCATTCAACCAGAATTTTGGGTGCCCCTCTAACAGACAGAGGGACGTCCTTGGAGAATTGAGACTGAGGCAGGGAAGTGGTTGTTAGCAGAATGCATTCAGTTGGGTGAGAGAGTGAGCAGGTTGGCATTGCATGATACTCAAGGGTGATGTGGTTTGATCACAGAGCCAGAACCAGAGCCAGGAGCTGCATCACAAATCGGCAAAACCTACAGATCAGAAAGCACCATCAGTACCCAGATAGAAGTCTATGGCATGCTGTGTGATGCAGAATAGGCTGTGTTCATAGATTTGTCAAATGTCAAGTGTCATTATCCCTAAGGTTTCAGAGGAGGTTGCTCAAAAGTAGATTTGTGCAGAGTTACAATTCTGATGTCCAAGACTCCTCTAGAAAAAATAGTTCTACAATTTTTATGCTCTCTTTCCATAGAAAGCAGGACTATCCAGTGGCTATGAGAGATATCCTCTACAACAAAATGGAATACTACATACCAGCTGGGTTATATGACAGCATTACTTTTGCTGCTACTGTTGTTGTTTTCCTTCTTTGATATACTTTCCAACAGTTCCTTTTGTCCCTTAGTTCCTCTGGATTAGTATTGCACTACTGGCTTCAGCGAGACAACACATCTGCTGCAGCAGACTGATCCAGCTCTCCATCTTGAGTGTCACACTAATCCCTAGGGAGCAGCAGCTAAGACATGCCAGGCTATAGTCTACAGACTTGAATCCAGGAAGAAGGGCAGGTCATTAATCATGGTTTGAATGGAGACATTGTTGTGATAACTAGAGGAAGATTGGGAGAGAAGTATTAAGAGGAAGGTCTCTTGTCAGCATTCTGGAGGGTGTAGATTTGAAAGTCACTGTAGGGACATTCATATCTTCTTCTCTTAATGATGTACGGATTACTGAAACCCTCAATCTACAGTATCGGGAAGTGTCAGAGTTTCTGGATTCAGATATGCTATGTAAGTGAAAGAGAGGTGTTGGCTACAATTATTTCTGCACCACAAGTACAGACCATGGGATTCCCTGACCAGAGCTGTCTCTGAGCTAAAGAAACACTTCTCTTACATGATTGTCACGCACACACAAACCCTGCTGTTATCTTGAGATGGCTAGTAATTCACTATGATTTTTAAGAAGGCATTGAAAGCCTTTCAATTCCATTTGAAGGCAGCAGAATATCATAATTTGATTGTCTTTATAAATAATATTTTCATGACCATATCTTTCTTTATTTGTATTTATAGGTGTCATCACTGTTAAACCATTGTCAGTGAAAGTTATGAACATTTTGTTTTATGTGATTTTTTATTTGTGTCAAAAAGCATTGTATAAATAAATATAAATCTGATAAAATAGAGGGAGCACAAGCGGCTAAATAATTTTAGACTAAAATTATTTATAATCAGTGAGTTGATTAAGGGTGTGATAAAATGGATAGAACCAGGAACCACTACAGGAGTAGGGAAACTTTTGTTCACTTAGTCCCATATTATGTAGATACAGTACATATGTATGTATCTAGCTCATAAGTGAAAATTGTGAATCCCCATCAGATGGTATTGAAACTGCAACTTCCATTATCCCTAGCCAGCATAACCAGTGAATACAAATTCTGATAATTGTAGTACAATATCTCAAAATTTGGTGAATTGCCCCATGTAGTCTTCTGGGATGCCTACCTTCACTCTACCAGGGTTTTTAAAATATTTTTTTATTGTTGTATATGAAGAAAAAACATACAATCTTCAAAATTCAACAATCGAGATACACATGTTATTTCCTCAATCCCACCACCTCTCCATTCCCACCCATGAACCACCACCCATGACTTCCAACACCACACCATGCGGAACTAGTGTCTAAAAAAACCTCTATCCTTATCGTTACATTAATACATTCCTCATGTGGCTATTTCAAAACTTATTTTTATCTTCTTTTTTAAATATCCAAAGACAAGTCCCCATTTTCTAACAGATTCTTAATGTATTCTTCTCCTTCAGCCATTGGAGAGCTTGGCCATTTGGATATTTTTTTTTTCAACCCTTAATGAGTACCCCCCCCCCCCCCCCCGCTTTTCCGGGACTTTGCTATTGTAATTCTCACAGCCACAAAACTATATGGGCAAATTTCTACATCATCTTTACTAATTTTCTCTTGAAACAAGCCCAATAGACATCATTCTGGGTTTTTCTTGATCTTTTTAGAAATTAATTTATTAGTTTCTTTCATCACCTTTTCCCATAATTTATTTACCTCCATGTCCATCAAACATGGAAGAAGGTGCCTTTCTGCATTTTACATCTCCAGCATTTCCCCCATTGCATTTTGTCAATTTTGGCCATTAATTCAAGCATTATGTAACATCTATAAAACATTGTATACATGTTTTATCTAATTGACCCCTGCTACTGAAAATTTAAATCCTTTATTTTGGTTTCTCTTCAAATTGTATAAATCTTTCACCTTTTACTCCACCAGCTTTTAACATAAACTTAAATAAGAAGTGGTTGGATATTATGCCAACAGATGGCGCTGCACCATAGTTCATTCCAAAAGTATGGTTTGTCTGTTCCTCCAATAGGATTAGATGGTTTGGAATATGGTCTGAATAAGAAAATACTATTTTTAATGTCAACAGTATAGCCCATAAGAGGCTGGATAGTTTCATAGATAGTCATTTTTTTCACTGATTCTGTATCAATGGATTCAGCCATTTGTGTCTTGAAAATATATTTTTTTAAATTTTAAAAAGCAAACTTTGATTTCACCATTTTATAAAAGGGACACCATTTTACTGCCCCATATATAATTGGACTTGAGCATCCATGAATTTTGGTATCCATCGGCGGTTATCAGACCAAACCCCAGTGGATATCATGGGCCCATATATGTTGTTGTCCCTGATGACCTTACTTCATATTGTCATAGCACCTTAGAAGATATGTATGTGATCATATAACTAAGGGGGTTTCCATATCCTGGGTAAATGTTCTTTTATTTATGCATGGAGCTACTATGCTACAGGGGTTTCTAGTTGTACCCTGGAATCACAAGGGGCAGATGAACTCACACATATGAACTAGACTTCTGTTTCCATAGGCAAACACTTATGTAATTGTAAATAAGTGTTTCTGCCTACAGCTTTAGTAGCACTTGAGCAACTACAACTGTAAACGTGGAAAGACCAGCACAGTATATGACAGTTTAATCAGCCATGAAGCAAGTCTAGAATGTGCAAACTTTTGACCTGATGCAAATTTGACATTGAAAGTAAGATCTTTCTTCAGAAATGACGACAATCTTGCTAATTCAATGCAAATCCATTTCTTTATTTTTGTTCATGTTATGTGACTCAGTCCTGTGTTTTTATTTAGTATGCTGAAAGTGTGGTCAGTAGTAGTAATAACAGAATAAGTATATTGAATATATAAAGTCAATTAATTAGGTGTTTGTGCTTAACCAATGGAATAAACCTCAGAGGGCTGAAAAAATAATGAGAACAAAATTAAGAAATAATGAGAGGAAAGTTTAAAGCAGCCTGCCAGAACTGGGACATATTTTCACTATAAACTTAAACCAATTAAATTGCTACGGCTTTCACCAAAGGAACCTGGGGAATTATAGAACTGTGCGTGGGCTAGGAATTAAGAGTGAACTTTCAACATCCAAACAAAACTATAATTCCCCTAGGTTTTTGAGAATGCCATCGGAATTAAGCAGGATGGATGCTAACATAGTTTTGTAGTGTAGTTGTGCCTAGATTGATCATGGCAATATGTTGAGCCTGCCATTTCAAATGGAATGACAGTGTTGATTAGGACAGTTTTTTGGCTTGGAAAGCTGTATCCATTGGATCGTTTGTGGCTTGGACAGAACTGAAATTGGGCAGGCTTATTTTCTCAATAAGGTGGCATGGATTAGTGACTGTTCATCGTTAGGAACCGTGATGGGCACAGATGGTATGGAATGGACTTCAGCTAATATCTACATCAGCATTGGCACAAATGTTATTTCTAAAAGAGGATCTTTACCTCTCTAGCTCTTTTTTTCATATTAGGAGCGACTTGAGAAACTGCAAGTCGCTTCTGGTGTGAAAGAATTGGCTGTCTGCAAGGACGTTGCCCAGGGGATGCCCAGAAATTTTGATGTGTTTTACCATCCTTGTGGGAGGCTTCTCTCATGTCCCCGCATGGGGAGCTGGAGCTGACAGAGGGAGCTCAACTACTCTCCCTGGATTTAAACCGCTGACCTGTTGGTCAGCAATCCTGCTGGCATAAGGGTTTAATCCACTGCGCCACCGGGGGCTCCTATCTCTAGCTGAGGTGAGAGCCATTAAGAACCAGATGGCTTGAAGTAGGGGCAATATAATGCCATGAAGGATTTGTTTCTTCTCTTTAAGTTATATCTAGCCAGGAAACATCTACCTAATGTTTGGCTACATGGGCTTTGGCATTGATGATGTGACCACTGTGGGTTTTTTTACTCTTCTTTCATTGTGCTGATAATGTCAGAAGTTTGAATATAATTGCAGTATGTCTTTATAAAGTTATCAAGAAAGATATACCTCAGTTAACAAAGTAGATGTGTGTGGGTGTTACTTTTTGGGTAAAAGAGGCAGAAATAACATAGAAGGAAGAGGGATGGGTTTAGAGTGATTAATATTTTATGTACGGTTTCTTGGGGGAGGAGGTCAGTCTACACAGCCTCTTTCCATTTGAAATCTCTTTCGCCCTGCCCCTTTAAGAATCCCCTCAGGGGCAGAATCTCAGGAAAGGCACTTCTGGTTCTTGGAAGTGTTAGCCTTTTTCGTGACTGGAAGGTGAAGAGAGAGGAAGGCCGGAAGGTCTACAAAATCGCATGTCCAGTCAGAGCTGTAGTTCCATCTAGTCAGAGCTCTATTCACATCCAGTCAGAGTTAAATATTGAGACCATCTTAGAGAAAGTTGAACACTATACAAGAAAAAGACAATAAGAAGAAATGAAGATTCAAGAGCCTCAGTTTGGCCAGAACTATGTCTACCTCTCAGATTTTGCCTCTCCTCATAAAGACTTCGTAGTGAGAGAGAAAGTCTAAAATTCTTGTCAGTTAATACATTCTTGTTTGATTCAACTGATCTGTTCCCTGCGCAGCCAGTTCACCTTCCAAGTAGTTAAGATAGTGTGGGAGCAGAACACTATCTGTGCACATGTGAAGTGAAACAACTAGGTCAAGTAATCCTGTGTAAACAAACAAAATCTTTCAAACTTTCTAGAGAACATTGTAGGCTTCTCCCAAAATGCATTCAGGGATGGCGTTCTTTTTTCCACTTTTTTGTGAGCTCTATTTTGATTGCCAAACTTTGAGAGCAGTGCTATTTTTAAAATATGCTGTGGGTAGCTGTTGAGGAAGCCTGTGCTCCTGTCCTCGTTTCTTTCTGTTTTGCTGTGCATACATGCTCAGTAAGGGATGCTAGAGGCAGCTGCCGTTTACCTTGCCAGTTGCAGGCAAGTCCACACAGCTTCAATGAGATCGATGAAATACCATCTCACTTTCCTAGCTCAATCTATATTGCAGTGTTTACTGCAATCCAACATCAATGTGTTTCTGCAACCATTCCAGAGAATAGCTGTATTTCAGAGGAAGGAATTAGCAAAATCAACTTTGTGTATTCCTTGCCAAAGAAAACCTTATGAAATTCATGGGGTCAAAAGGCATCTTGTAGGCACATAAGCAATCACATGGAAAAATTTATTTATTTGTTTGAGTTTTCAAAATTAACATGTAAACACTCTTATACATAAACGTATTTATGTCTACGTTCAAGATATTACCTCCAAGAACCTACATATTGACATTGTGGTGCCATTTTGTTCTGCAGTACAAAGGAAAAGCAAACCTGCATGTTTTTGAAGACTGGTGTGGAGGAGCTGTGGGACATCTAAGGAAGAATCTACATTTTCCCCTCTATCCTCATGTGAGTGAAAGCTGTTCCACAAGTCAGAGATGCCAATTTCTGCACTACAGGCAGTTCCCAAGTTATGAACAGATTATACTTTTTTAAGTGTAACTCCAACCAAAGATAGATAAATAGATAGATAGGTTGTGGATAGCATAGACAAAGGTTAACACTCCTGTGGTGTTTATTTTGTTGTCCATGCCCCTGTTCAGAAGATTTCCCTTCACTTTCTGTTCCTGTGATCATTGGATTTTGAAAAAATTGGCTTGGTGTGAAATAAGAAGCATTGGCGATCTGATCATATCACTTCAGCTTCTCTGCATCATGGTTTACCAAAAATATGGGACAGTGTGTTACATTGGTTGGAACAATATACAGATAAATGTACCTCAACTGGATTCGGTGGAAACAAGATCTAGGGTCTCTCATAAAACCTGATGTTTATATTGAAATATATTCATATGAAATGGCAGTTGATGGCTTCCGAGGTAGTGGATAGCCCAAACTTTAAAGAAACTATCAAAGAAGCCTGTCCCTAAACAGATCCAGCACCTTGCATATCTCCTTTAAAATTAAAACAAACAAAAAACCCCAGAATGCATTCACTGCCTCACTGATATGGAAGCCACTAGTGACCGATCACTTCTCTTGTGCAAGCAGGAGATCAGATGTATGGAAAGAACATGTGGTTTCAATGCACAACCTTGAAGGTGCCTTACTCCTCCAGTGACCCATTTGCTGGAGACTCTAACTAGGAATTGAACATTTAAATGACAATGTGTGGAAGTAAGCTATCAAAGTGAAGGAAGAATTTGAAATTAGGTGTAGATAAATTAATTCTGTTTTCCAATATGAAAGCATGAGCAGAAGTTATTTTGCTTAAGATTTGCTTAAAGTCTGTGCTATGAAATGTTAGTTGTAAAACTCCCTCCTTTCTGATTCGTAGACACGTACAACAGTGAAGAAGTTGGCAGTGTCACCGAAATGGAAGAATTATGGACTACGGATATTTGGGTACATTCATCCTTTCAAGGATGGTGAGTAGAAACACCACCCTTTTACTCTTTTCCCAAGAGCTGGGGTTCAAAGAGTAGGCATCACGACTGAGGACCTTCTTACTCACTTTAGGCAAGGATGCCTCTGCTCTGCTATAAGCACCTCGCCATTGTTTTCCCCATATTTTGAGACACTGGGAAAACATACTGGACAGCCACCAAAGAAGCCACAGTACTGGATGTAAAGCAGTGGTTCTCAACCTGTGGGTCCCCAGATGTTTTTACCTTCAACCAGAAATCCTAACAGCTGGTAAACTGGCTGGGATTTCTGGGAGTTGTAGGTCAAAACACCTGGGGACCCACAGGTTGAGAACCACTGATGTAAAGTGTGACCAGCAAAAGCCAACATACTCCTTAACTGCCCTTTTCCCTTTCCCTTTTTGTTTGTTTATTTGTTTGTTGTTCAGTAATTAGTTTCTTGTGGAAAGAAAAAAGTTGTAAGAGAGTTACAGTATTAGGAAGAATTTCCTGACATTCAAAAGTGGCGCCGCCTTTATTTTGTGAGTGTCCTTCTTGTGAGATTTTTCATCAGAGGCTGGGTATTCATCTATCAGGAGTGCTTTGAATCTATATTCTTGCATGATGGTGAACTTGATAATCCTTGTGATCACTCCAAACTGTAATTCTAAGTTGAATATAATACATTCACCAGGGCGTTGTGTGGTTTCCAGGCTGTATGGCCATGTTCTGGCAGCATTTTCTCCTGAAGTTTTGCCTGCATCTGTGACTGGCATCTTCAGAGGATACAGATGCAGGTAAAATGTCAGGGGAAAATGCTGCTGGAACATTGCCATATTGCCCAGAAACCACACAACACCCCAGTGATTCTGATCGTGAAAGCCTTAGACAATATATTCTTTATTCCACCCCTACCCCTTTTAAATGTCTTGCCATTTGAGATAGTGAGATTGAAAAAAATTAAAAGCTCTCCTGAAAGCACCTCCAGGGTTTGGGCTCTTCGGGGTCTAAATCAGTAGTTATCAACCTGTGGGTCCCCAGGTGTTTTGGCCTACAACTCCCAGAAATCCCAGTCAGTTTACCAGCTGTTAGGATTTCTGGGAGTTGAAGGCCAAAACATCTGGGGACCCACAGGTTGAGAATCACTGGTCTAAATGCTCCCCCAAAGAAGTTCCAGTATTGTTACTTAGATGGCTGGGGAGTGCAGTTGCTCCTCCTTACTGCTGTTCCTAACTAGTTACAGAGCTCCTCATAGTCAGGAGTGCCTTTGCTGATTACAAGGGAAGCCTGTTCTGACAACTGTAGAGGAAGTTGACTAACCAGGAGTTTTTCCCTGTTTCCTGATCACATGGGCACCTCTGCCAAAGTCAGAAGAGGGCACCAGTGTGATCTGGAAGGAGTGAGGAATCACCCCCCACCCCAATCCCCATGCTGGTCATGTGGGTGCCCTGGTATGATGTTAACAGAAACATCCACAATGGCAATGAGCTCTCCTGGAGTTCCATGGCTGGCTAGGAGCAATAACAGTGGCAGCGACATGAAAGAAATTAAGTGTGCATTGTCCCAGAGGAGCTGTGGTGTTGATGCAGTCCTAATCTAGTCCCATTTCCTGCACTGATGAGCACAGGAAAGCAGTGATGGCACTGGTGTCCCATCTGGACAGAAGATGTGGCTAAATCAAACCTGATCCAGCTGCCCAGATTGCCTTAAAGCCATGGGATACCACGGATTTTCCACAAACCTCAGAGGTCCCAACTTTGTGGAAGAAAGGCAAAGCAGGTTCAGAGTTTGAAACCCTTGGATACTCACCAGAATTAGTTGTTCATCATGAAAACAGCCAGCATTCCATTTGCGGTGAGCCCCGGTCAGGAAGGGGTAACTCATGTAGACACGCCTTCTGCCAGGAAAGAGGTTTTCCTACTTTTAGCCCTCTGCATGTCAAGAGGTTTAAAACCTGCAAAGACTGACAGTAGATTCTTGGTGTCTAGGGTAGCAGTGAGGGACTCCCTAAACACATCCAGTTTTCCCAGATGTTCTGAGTCCTAAAATGCTGCACTTAAGAAGCCATCACGCTTTGACTTGGAAAGATACCATGAAGATAACCATGCCTACATGTCCTTCTCACTCATACAAGAAGCAATTTTCATCTCATCTCCTGTTCTTCACTGTTCCTACTGCCCAACCCCATAGTTCATTTCTCTTCTTTGTCTCGTAGGGGATTTTCAGTTTTCTGTAGCTTCTGATGATAACTCTGAATTTTGGCTCAGCTCTGATGAGACTCCAGCCAATGCACGACTGGTGGCCTTTGTGGGCAAGGTGAGCATAATTTTTCACATTCTCTTCATTCCTAGCACTGTAAAAGAGTGACTCATAGACTCACAATAATGGTGTTGCAGCATCTTTCTGTGGATAGAAGTGTTTTTTCTAGTTTTCTCACAGGCAACGCCATCTGGCATCATCTTTCTAGTTCCTTGCTGGGATAGTTAAATGTAAACGGAACCAGTGGTATTGCCATTGGGAGCCATATAAACCTCAAGCCAACTCAGCTGTGATTCTTACAACTGGAGGCTGCAAAATTGAAACCTGGAACTATTACACAAAATACAGATATGTGTGTATATGTGAGCCTGTTCTAAGTTCTGGTATGTTGTGCTTGTAATGTTGCAGGATGCACCCCCCGCCCCCTTTGCAGCTGTGGTTTGCAACCTGAACCAAATTGTTTTGCTTGTTAACATTGATTTGGAGGTTACTCTTAGGTCTGTGTACAGATTTGGTGGATATTTTTCCAGTTTGCTCTGAACCGAAGAGAAAGCTCTTATTTCCATATTGGGTGCAGAGAGAGCCGTTGAGCTGTTCCACAGAATAAAGAAATTATGAAAACAAAGAGCCCTTTTCTCCATATAAGGGAGGCACTGCCATTTCAGTTTGATGGCTGGAAAACAGGTTTGGGTTTAGGATATTAAAACACAGCTCATACCATGAACGCTTTACTACACTGAGGGGGAAGAGACAGGCCAATAAGCACAGCTAGGATCTAAAAAGCATCAGGTAAAGAGATCATCAGTTCTGCAAAATTTTCTTTAAATCTTCCCTCCAGTATGGTGCCTTAAAAATGCTTGAAAGCCAGTTCAGCAAATGTTGTGGGCAATCTCCCCTCTCTCTCATTCAATACTGCTGATACACTTGTATGTGATACTAATATTACCCTGCAGGTGATGAGGAGTCAGCAAAAGATGTCAGACTGCTGATTATTGACAACATTTTGTAGGCTAGTGGAGGTAGCATTTATGTAGTATATACTCGTGTACCATGCAGGTAATGAATATGGCAGTCTAAAGAGTTCATCAGGCCATGATGCTGGGTTGTTGGACTCTGACCTTCACTCCAGCACTCATGAAGAAGAGTAATATCATCTGTGATGTGTTGAATCTTATGTTTTTAAGATTAAAGTCACTTAAGATATTATCTTCCATATTATGTGTAAAAGTTTCAAAGCCCTTACAAATGAGAATCCTAATAAAGTAGGGTTCCCATATGTGAGAGTTTTCTGTTGAACATATTACAGGCTTCCTTTCAGACCTTTGCATTAAACTACCATGTACGTGCCTGGGGACATTCAGGAATGGAGGTTATGTTCCCATCCATGTCTCATTCTGACTGAGTTCTGTTTGTATCACAGACAAATGCCCCATATAATTTTAGTTCAGACTTCTGTTTCTCCAGATGTCTTTGGACTTCCATTTCAACTACTCCAACCACTGTCCATGCTGACTGGGGCTTCTGGGAGCTGTAGTCCAAAATAACTGGGAGAGAAAATGTTCCAAACCAATGTTCTAAACTACATACATTTTAAAGTAAAAATACACCCCAAAGTTTTCAAGAAAATGGCTGTCTGAGATATTGTTTTTGGAGTGACACATCTGGGATCCCTTTGCACAACCAAGAGTAGAAGATCAGTTGAGAGAGGGAGGAGGAGAGGCTGCTTAACCTTTTCCTGCCATATGCTCATAATCTTGGTTGCTTTCCCATCAGGAGGCAAAAAGATATGGGGATACATCTGTTTCAGTGCAAAGAGGGAAAACAACCCCAGGCAGATTATTCTTGAGTTAGAAAGTTGTAGGGAAGGAAAAGGTTAAATCACACTTCTGTTCTATTGAAACGAGAGGCTTTGAATATGCTGCTTGGTTAAAAGAAAAGATCTGCAGGGGAAAACCATTAGGGGGGAAAGGCATACAATTGTATGTAATGCCTGGTTTCTCACTAGGAAAATGGGTAAGGTCCTACAAGGAGATGTGCACCCAGTCAATGAAAAGTTGCATAGATTACAATGTCTTTATGACCAAAAGCAATCTCTGTTATTAAAAAGCTCTGGTGCCCTCATGCTAACATTAAATATGTTTATACTTATACTATGATTTGGAAGGCCCTGGTGGATAACACTATTCATTCCAAGACTGGAAATTTCACATATGCGTTTGATTCTTAGGCAACAAGTAACAAAAATCATCTTCCTTTGTGTGCTGAAATACATAGACAAGGAATCCAGTGGTTGCAAGTCCCAGGACAGTTATAGATAATTTCTTGTGTGTACTTGCAAGGAAGTCCAGTGTCGATCTTGTACTTTTGCAATGGGAAGAAATTGGAGCACCTGCAAGACTGTGGTGGTTCTCTTTAACCATCCATTGCAGAACTATCTAGTCACAGAGAGCCAATATGAAGTGAAAATATCTTTTTATCTTAATTAAGTCTGAGGAAACCTCTCTCAAAAAGCTCTCCTTTGATCTAGCAGCTCAGTTCTTGCACAGCTGATAATGAGATTGCAATGCCAGAAAAGACTGGCTTTTCTTTAAAAAGAAACAAAATAATTTACAGTACTAGGTATAATACAGGACCAGTCACAAGCAAAAGAAGGTAGGAAAAATTATAAAACAATAAACGAGAAGCTATATTTACCTTCTGTTTGTCAGAAGATCAGCAGATATAGGCTAAGGACATTTTTTCATATAAGCTTTGGGAAATGATGAGCCAAGTGCAGTATATAGGCCACACAACGCACACACCCCTCCCAATTTGGCTTTTGAAACCTTCAGATCCTTTTTGGGCCGGTTTTGAGACAAATTTTACCCAAAGTGGTTAAACTGATCACAAACTGGTTTCAAATATGGTAATTTATTTCCTCCCCCTAAACAAACCAAAACAGAAAAAGAGGCTGAAAAACAGTTCAAGTTTTAGGCACACCAAAATGCCATGATGCAGTTGGCTAGAGCAGGCACAGGAAAGAAATGGCTTATTCCTGGTTAGGGCTGGATGGTTATGCATCAAATCATTCATCTGCAGAAAGACCTGATCTCAAAGCCATCTAGACTATGATTTCCCAAGGAAAATCCACTGACATTCCTTTGGATCGTCTTTCCTTTTTCTGTATTTGATTTTCCCTCATCAGATCTTGAGTTTGTTTTCTATCTTGACATCTTTTTTTCTTCTTTAGCTGGGCTCTGAATGGACTGCTCCAGGAGAGTTCACAAAATTCAGTTCTCAGGTCTCCAAGCCAATCCGGTAAGTGTGACCGCTATGTTACAGAGATACAAAGGAAGAAAAACAGTGACTTCTATTAGTGTCAGGTTGTCTTGATATACAGAACACTATGTCAGATTTTTGCATGTGCTTACAGCAAAAGAGACCGATATAACAACATTTTCCTGGTTTGATATCACTCGTTCCCTGAGATCTTATGCTCATCATTAACATGCTTCTCAAATGGTACATAAACAGAGCGTGTTGAAAGGCACAAAACAGCAGGATCGCAAGATGACTTTCATCCTTTAAATAGCACTTACGGTTGGCAGAGTGTGCTATGGCCTTTATTGTGAAGTAGATTACAATTCCCCCAGGATGCAGATGGCAAACAGACGCTGAGAGATGTCTTGCTGTTAGCAATACAGTGAGTTCGCCCCAGAGGGTGAGCTTTGAACCCAGGCCTCTCATATCCAAAGTGGCTTCAGCCACTTAATAACTAGTTCTGCAAGCTTGTTAAGAATTACTTTTTAAAATTTATTTCCGTCATTAGAATAAAACCACAGTGGAGGAGACTGCAAGGGCCATCCTGTCCGATCCACTCTGCCATGCAGGACTACACAACCAAAGCACTGTTCACTCAGCATCTGTTTAAAATGCTCCAGGAAAGGAAACTCCATGAGCCTCCAAGGCAGTGAGTTCCACTATCAGACAGCTTTGATAGGCAGGAGGTTCTTCCAACTGTTTTGGTGGAATCTCTTTTTCTGCAGTTCAAATTCATTGCTCCGTGACCTAGTCTCTGAAGCAGCAGAAAACAAACATGCTCCATCTTCAAATTTATTTGTGTTCCACTTTCTGTTTTCCTTCTTGAATCTTCCTCCCCTCACTCCATCACTCTTTTTTGTCCTCCTTCTCTTTGTCCTTTTTCCAGGCCTGTCAGATTGAAGCTTCTTTCTGTGTACATGCAAAGTCTGTCAGCTCCCCTCACTGTTGCTTTGCTTCCTTGTTTGACACAGCTCTGGCTGGAGCTGGCAGCTGTCTTCCAGGCCTGTCTTTGCTTGCTCCATCAATTCACTGTCAAGCACGACTGTCCTTGACACACCAGAGCTGTGGTCTTCTTTTCCCCACTCCTCATCCGTGTGATGCTTTCATGTTTTATATTACACTTAGGTTATATTACACAGGAGGGCTCACATGGCTCCTACGTCAGTGGAATAGTCAACCCATTCCAGATATTAATCTAAGTTATGAAGGAGCTCTCCAAAGTGGTGAAGGGTTATTTCTAAATAAATTCAACACCTTGGGTTGTTGTTGTATGACAATGTAATTTTTGAGATACGACAATTCCTAAGCAAAACTATCAGTGGGGTTTTCTTGGCAAAATTTGTTTAGTGAGGTTTTGCTTTGCCTTCCTCTGAGGCTGACATAATGTGTCTTGCCCAAGATTACCAAGTGGATTTCTATGGCTAAGTTGAGATTCAAACCCTGGTTTTCTGAATCTTCATCCAAAACACTGCTCTTTACTGGCTCTCCAAATTTTGTGTACCTCTTTTCAAAATTAGACAAAACCTGGTCAGAGTTACCATGCCACTGGGCATGGGAACTACTACTCAGAGGCTGTATTTGTGGAATTTTAGAATTGGAGGAGACTTTGGAGGGCACTCTAGAGTTTCCTCTAGGCCAGAACAATGAAAAGTTAACTTTTTTGACTACAGTTCCCAGGTTCTGCTTACCAACAGGACCAATGGCCATAGTTTGTGGGGGATCCTAGAAGTTGTCTAAAAAAGTAACTTTTCCAGGCTCTGGTTGTCATATCCTTCCTGGAGGAGGCCTGTTTGTAAGCAGATAAGTAAGAGGTGTGCCAAGATAATGATTTGATAATTTGAGCTAGAGGAGGTTGCAGTCATGCCACGGCACCAGCAGAGGCACAACCTGATCCATCCCAGGCATCCAGTGCAGCTCAAAGAAGGAGGCAAAGGCACTTCCTTCCATTAAAGCAGGAGGAGCAAAGGGCCAGGCAACACCCTGCTCCACTTTAAATGTAGGATTCTGAGCTAATGAGGCCAACTAGGCTGAGTAACAGCTGGCTATACATTTGCCCAGACATTGCTGCAGAAAACAGTTCCAACACTTTCAGTCAACTCTAATTAATGTATCTGGCTTTGTAGAGTTCTGGCCTTCAATTTCTACCTTAGTTTTATTTTCCTTCTCAGTTTTTATCTCTACTGTTTTTCCCTTTTGTACTTCCTTGGACCCATTCTTCCACTTACAAGACCATGTAAGCCCTGGGACTGGACTTCTGTGGACTGGGGTGTTAAATAGGCTGATCTAGGGCAAGCCCTGATCTAGTCTCAGTGCAATGTGTGCTGCAAATACAGCATTTTTTCACAGATGGCTATCCAGCTTCTGCTTAAGTAGCTCAAGTAAAGAAAAGCCAAACACTTCCAATGACATCTGTTTGTTTTTTTCTTGGGCATCTGTTTTCATTAGGAAATGTCTCCTCAGATTTCTCCTCAAAATCTGTTATTTCAGAATTTCTATCCATTAGTTTTAGTCCTGGCCAGTGGACAAGACTGAGCACAATAGCTCTATAATGTCTCCCTATATATGGTGTATGTTCTTTGTATGATTAGCCAATGACTATAGTTAGCTTGTGCCCCTTTTCCCATGTTATATATACTCCTTTGTCCCTCACACAACCTCAAAACTGGTCTTCAGGTGGGCTATTGGGAAAGACTGGTCAGGGTTATGAACTGTTCATTTCCTGGTGGTAGTTTGTGGGATGTTGTCATGTGCCCTGTATAAATATATCTCTGTACCTTTTGGCATAGACTCTTGTTTCTCTGTGATATATCCTGTGCCCTGACCTCAGAATGGCAGAGGGACAAATGTTAAGAACAGGACATGCAGAGTTTTCTTGCTAGGGTCAAGACACAAAAGAACTCTGAAATATCGGGAAGATGTGCACTGAATGCTTATTGCTTCTCCCAGCTGCTGGGGAAAAGAAATAAGGGAAACTGTACAAATGAAAAGAGAGGAGGAGGAGGAGGAGGAGGAGGAGGAGGGAGAAAGGAGGAGGAGGAGGATCAAGCACCTGCCCAGAAAATAGAGGAAAGCAATAACTGGGCATTAAACTGGCAGATTTCCAGAGTGTGTCATCATGCCAGTGCATCAGCAGAGCTAACAAATGTGTTTTTCTGTCTTTCTATCACCAATATAGCGGTTTTCTAAGTAGTGAAGAATACTACTAAAAGCCAGCGCATGCTAGGAAATGCTGTGCCTTCTTAATTGAGGCGCTCAGCAGTTTAATAAACGGATTGGAAATGGGGGCAGGGGGTGAGCCTCTCTGTCCCCTCTACCTCCGTTGGCAAATAATACAAGGTAGTTTGAATTCCCATCTCAGCTTCAAAAGGCAGTGGATCTAACTGTTTTTGCTTGCTAATTTCATGGCCATGGAAAGCATAAGCACCTAATGTAGAGCATTAGACTTTAGCACAATGAAATCCCATCTGGGTTTTGTTATTTGTTTTTCCCTTTCTTCAGCACCACTGTGCCCATTTTGCTGACCAGCCATAATACATGTTGTAGGTTCACAAAGCACGTTAGAAACAGGAGTGAATTGAGTCTAACTACCCATAATAAAGCACATATTGGGGAGCTATTAATCTAATTTAATTTTGGCAGGCATTGAGATGCAAAGGAAAGTAAACTGAAGTGCTTTGCCCAGGTTATCTCAGAAATACCAAAGCAGAGTCAGGAAGAGACTCTGCCAAAGTGTGCTCTCATGATTTCATTTGAGAAATGGGGATTTCCATGACACACAATCCTTTTTCTTATTTTATTGCACTCTTCTGTGCCTTTTTAGTTACATTCTGCAAGATAAAAATATAAAGACTACATCTTATCAATGATTCAGTTTATGTTTTCACTTTGTAACAAAATTTGAAAACTTTTCTGTTCCTGGTTTGAAAGTGTTATTCCTGTTTAATTGTGTCATACTTACTTTGAAAGTAGCTGTTATACTCCAGAAACTTCGTTTTTGTGGCTACCACAAACTGTGTTGAATTGTTTGAGACGCTGTCAGATATTCACTGAAAAACTATAGCAAAATGTGTTGCAGGATGTCCCGCAAAAATAAAGGTTTTACAGTACAATTTTTTATTTTTTATTTTCATGTCAGGAGCAACCGCTCCTGCTGTGAGAGAATTGGCCGTCTGCGAGGACGTTGCCCAGGGGATGCCCGGATGATTTGAAGTTTTATCATCCTTGTGGGAGGCTTCTCTCATGTCCCCGCATGAGGAGCTGGAGCTGATAGAGAGCTGATAGAAGGAGCTCATCCGCCTCTCCCCGGATTCGAACCTGCAACCTGTCAGTCTATTTATTTATTTATTTATTTACTTTACTTTACTTCTATACCGCTGTTCTCAACCCAGAGGCGACTCACAGCGGTTCACAACACACAAGAAACAGCAAAATTCAATGCACCAATATAAAAAACAGTTAACAACCTAATGTAATACACAATTAGTAAACAATTACTATAATAACCATTCACTAGCGTCTCATCACTAAAAAACATGATCCAGATTCGTCATCCATTGTTCCATTCCTATGTCATTACCATTCATTGCACTAATTACTACAGTAATAATGAACTTTTTCCATATTTTTTTAATGATTGAACCAATCAGGAAATGACATTTATAACCCAGAAACAAAAATCGTGTTACACAGTGTTATATGTTGGCAAGTTCAGATAGCATGTGAATAATTTCACACATTGTACACCTTTGGGTATCACTCAGTTGGCCAAAGTTTCATAATTTATTTACTTCGTGTTTCTAAGAGAAGAGTGGGCACAGAAGTTTGTGGGGGGCATGCAGAAAGAGCTAACAGAAGGAAGTACAGCTTGAGGCCAGGGACCATTAGGGGGCGTTTTTCTCTCCACTTACCGCATTTTCTTCATGATGGTATTTTTCCATCTTGTGAGAAGCAGCAGCAACAGCAATATTGCAAATGAGCTGTGATAAGTAGAAATGGCC